ACAGATACCCCATTGTGTTGCTTTGTAGCTTAACTTAAGAACAAACAAACAAACAATTAAATGTTTTACTACATTTAAAAATCAGCATTATATATTTGAAAAGTTTATGATCTTACGAACTTACTGACTTGTCTAAAATTTCGTCGCCTGGAACAACCATGAGAAGTTTTTGCAAGTTTATTCATAAACATGTTTATCCAGCATTCTATTTTAAATAGTTGCCGATACGGAATGTGTTAAGAACATTTGTTTTGTACTTTATACATGTTGTAGGCTGAGTTATTTATTACGTAATAACTTTAAAACCTACAAAATATATATATCTGATAACATTAACCTTATTGAATCTAAGTATAAATTCGCTCACATTTCTTTTTCATCCTACTTCACCATCTATTATCTAAATGAAGCTATTTAGTTTACATAATAAAAGCAACACAAACATTAAATAACAATACGGATTCGAAGTAAAATAATTTAATTATTTCAAAAACTTCCCTTGTAAGTAGTTAATATAAATCACATATTTTCCAATTGCTACTGATTCAATACTACGTCATTTATCATATACGATGATGTTCTGGTTTTTATTTAGTATTGTGGCCACGCATGGCCTAGTGGTTGGGGCGCTCGACTCACAATCTGCGCGTGGCGAGTTCGAATCCACGTCCCACCAAACATACTTATTCTTTCAGCCATATATATATATCATATTCGTTGGTAAAAGAGTAGCCCGAGAGTTCATTGCAAATTAGGTACGGCTAGCACAGATACCCCTCGTGTAGCTTTGCGCGAACTTCCAAAACTATCACTGTAGTCTTGAAAAACGGTAGTTGAACAAGTTATAAGATATATTAAATAACTACTGGTGTAAGAGATGTAATTACATTTGTTCAAACGCGTAATCGTCCTATTTAGTTATACAGTGAAATGCAAATATCGCGGGGTTAAATACACTTGGAAAAATATAAATATCACAGATTTATCCAGTTTCGTTGTTTGTTCAAAATTCATATAATTTATTATTATCAATTGGACAAATATGTAAGCTTTCTACCGAATACAGTAAAGTTGTGAAATAGCTTAGATACAACTTATCTAGTTTTCTTCTTGAAATTCCATTACGCAACAGCCAATAGCCACCGTTTTGTTTGTCGAAGTATTTGCTTTAAATTTTATAGGTTCTGATACACTTATCATTATTACAACATATACCAACTGCACCTTTCTGTGTTTTCAATGATATTATTATCTTACAAAGAGTAAAATGTGATAAGTAAAGAACTTCAAGAAAACATATTTCGTATCCTCAGCCGCTATTGGACCGTGGAATATAACATTAAGAAGATAATTCCTCAACAATCTCAATCTAAAATGTAGAAAGCTCCATACATCCAAAACAGAAAGCGCGGCATGGCCAGGTGGTTACG